GCAATGTAAGACCATTCCACAGTTACGAATGTCAACATCCTTATCGACATAGATCTCTATCCTCCAACGAATGAGGTAGTATATGGTATGAACTTAGCACCAAATGTAATAAAAAACTGTGCTAATCCATATCGGTCCTCATAATGCTTCAGATCAAAATGAAGCCACATGTCACTAAAATAAACACATCTTATGTCATTATTTATCATATCTCGAGATCACAATAATATCATAAAAAGACATAAGTCAAATGCATGCCCAAAATAATTTATGGATAGGTGAAAAATATTTTATTATTAGAAGGGGCTGTACTCGAAAGCATATGGGTTGCCTACGTATCCCGCAAAGGGATCAAGCCCAAAACATAGTTCATAAATAACTCCCACTAACAAAAAATATCAAATGTTTCTACAATACCCATATTAGCAACACGTGTCTTAAAGACTTTTGGAGCGAGTCCCTTCATCAAGAGGTCTGCAATCATTGCCTCTTTATTAATATGCTTTATTTTCATCTGTCCTTCCTTGACCCTGTCTTTAACCACCAAATATTTGATGTCGATGTGTTTTGACCAACCAGAACTTTTATTATTCTTTGAAATGAACACTGCTGCACTGTTATCACAGTATATGGTGATTAGTTTTGAGATGGAATTAACAACTTTCAGGCCAGAGATGAAATTTCTTAACCAAACGGCTTAGACTGTAGCCCCATAACATGCCACAAATTCAGCTTGCATAGTAAAAGATGCAACTAGAGTCTATTTAGCACTTTTCCAAGAAACGTGAGATTGATTTCAAATCATCTTGACATCTAGCAAAATCAGAATCTAAATATCCTACCACCTCAAGATGATTTGAACGTTGGAATGTAAGCATATAACTTTCAGTTTCTTTAAATATCTTATAACTTTCTTAGCTGCTTTCCAATGCTCTTGTCCTGGATTTGACTGAAATCTGTTAAGAACACTTAATGCGTAGGCTATATCCAGCCTAGTGCAAACTTAAGCATACATCAAGCTCCCCACAGCTCTAGCATATGGAATCATCTTCATATATTCTCTTTCTAGCTCATTCCTTGGATATTGAGTTTTGTTGAACTTATCTCCTTTTATGATAGGTACATCACCAGGTGCATAGTTTTACATATTAAATCTTTCTAGAACACGTCGTATATGAGCTTTTTGAGAAAGTCCCAATAAGCCACAATTTCTATTACGATGTATTTCAATGCCAAGTACATAAGGAGAAGAGTACATAAGAAGCTTCTCCAAGGTCTTTCATCTCAAAATTTAGTAGACAACATTTTCTTTGTCTCATGAAGCAATTCTAAGTTACTGTTAGCAAGTAGAATGTCATCAACATATATGATAAGAAAAATAAAATATCTCATACTGGTTTTGAGATAAATGCATTGATCAACCGTATTTTCAACAAAATCAACAGAGGTCACAACCTTGTCAAACTTTAAATACCACTGTTGAGATGCTTGTCTAAGACAATATAAGGATTTGTTTAACTTACATACCAAGTTTTCTTTTCCTTTCACAACAAAGCCTTCAGATTGTTTCATATGAACCATTTCAGAAAGATCTACATTCAAAAATATTGTCTTAACATATGAAATTCGAAATCGTAGTGTGCCACAAGAGTCATGATAATTCGAAAAGAATCTTTTAACGAAATAGGGGAGAAGGTTTCAACATAATCAATGCCTTCCGTTGAGTGAAACATTTTGCAACTAATCTTACTTTATTTCATTCAATATTCCCTTTTGAATCTAATTTACTTTTGAAAATCCACTTGTTATATATAGCTTTAGTATCTGGAGGAAGCTCAACAAGATACCAAACTTTATTCTTTTTCATAAAATTCATTTCATCTTCAATAGCATTTATCCATTTATCTACCTCAAGACTTGTCAATGCTTGATTATGAGTTACAAGATCAACAATATGCCCAATATTAAAATCGCTCTCCAATAAATATGTAATATAATCAATGGGTAATATAGATCTCCTTTCCCTTTGTGATCTCCTAACTTGTGGCTCAGGAGTCGATTCAAACGTTGTCAGAGGATTGGAAGTACCTCGATTCTTCATTAACAACTTCATTTGATTGAGAACCACCTCTTTCCTGTATAACGGAAACTTAAACAACAACTTGATTTGGTTCAACAAGAATTTCCCTCAATGTAGAACTCCCACTATCTCCAAAATCATTCTCCAGAAACTTAACAGTAATGGACTCCACAATTTTAGTGTCGCGATTTGGACGGTAAAACTCATAACCTTTGATCTGTCTGGATACCCAATAAAGTAGCCAGGAGTTGATTTAGAGTCTAATTTCTTTTCAAATAGATTATAAATCCTAACCTCAACTGGATATCCCCCAAACATTAAAATGAGCCAAACGTGGCTTGCGTCATGTCCATAATTCAAAAGGTGTCTTCGCAACAGTTTTACTTGGAACTCTATTCAAAATATACATAGCAGTTTTCAAGGCTTTACCCCATAAATATTCAGGCAAGTTTGTTCTACTCATATGCTTCTGACCATGTCTTTTAGAATTCGATTATATCTTTCAGAAACTCCATTTTGCTCAGGTGTCCTTGGCATGGTATATTGGGGACACTATTCCACACTCTTGTAAAAACTTTACAAAATCACTCATATTTTGACTAGACTCGTCATATTTCTCATAGTACTCATCACCATGGTCAGATCTTACAACTTTAATACTTTTTCCACATTGTTTCTCTACTTCTAGCTTGAAAATTTTGAATTTCTCAAGTGCATATGATTTATCGTTAATCAAGTAAACATATCCATATCGTGAGAAATCATCAATGAAAGTTATTAAGTATTTATTCCCACGTATAGTAGAAGGCAAATATCTACTGATATCAGTGTGTATCAAGTCCAAAATTCCATTACTCCTAGTTGAACCCTTCCTTGTAGAATTAGTTAGTTTTTCTCTTATACAATCCACACAAGTGTCAAACTTAGAGAAGCCTAAAGAGGGAAGTATCTCATCTTTTACTAATCTTTCCATTCTATTTTTAGAATAATGACCCAAAAGCTTATACCACAATATAGAGAATGATTCATGAATTAAAGTCCTTTTCTTTGATACAATGGTAACACATGTGACATCACCAAAAGGAGCTAAAGACAATTTATATAAACCATCACATAAAAGTCCATTCCTAATCAAACGAGAATCATAAATTAATTCAACATTTCCCTTACCAAAGTTGAAGGTAAAACCACAAGTATCAAGTTTTTATTTAGAAATTAAATCCCGTCTCATTTGCGGTACAAAAACTATATTTTCCAAAACAATGGTAAAATCAAACTTCAAAGACTACTTCACTATCCTATGATTCAACCTTCACTTGAACTCCATTTTCAACACTCAACCTCACTTCATTCTCACTTAGCCTTCGTTTACTTGTGACCCTTACAAGAAATTCGCAATATGAGTACTAGCTCCAGAGTCTAACCACCATGAATATAAAGGCACATCTACAAAGAAAAACTCAAAACAAACTAAGGTCAAGGGAAAATTTTGAGAGCCTTTAGCTCAGATGATATATTTGTCATCTTCATAACGTGTTCTGTAACACCACTTGTGCCATCACATCTCATATTCATCAATTTATCCATCAGATCTCCAGTTTCGACTTTATCAGACACAATAAATTTTTCTCCTATGGCATTTATAAAACCTTTGGCATTTTTATTGTCTGGGATAGCACCCATAATAAAATCAGATATAGAGCGCTTAATAATTTTCAAATAGAGTTCGTTGACTATTTCTCACTTTTCACACTCGGCTACATATTCAACATTACTCTTATCTGTGGGTTTGTCAAGCTTTTTCTCCATTGCAAAATCCAAGACTAAAAGACCAAGTGCTATTTCTACGTCTCGTTTTCATCTCATATAATTATTCCCAGTTAAGGTTTCAATAGCAGATAATTTATTCGAAAAAGATGAGACATTATAAACTGTGGAAACATAAAATATCACACTCAATATCATCCAAACATAATGCATGTAATCAAATGAATTATAAAATATTCAACTAATTAATATGGGCTATTAATTATATAATCCATAATTTAAATCGAAACATATGAATTTCATTAAGGTAAGAGCTTAGATGTATCATCATAAAGTTACCTTTGGGTTGACAATACAACATGTTATAAGGTACTCTTAAAACACATCATGTAGATAATTAACAAAATTACATTGATTTTTGAAATATCAACGCTTTTGGGCAGAAGGAAATTTCTAGACCAAAATAAGCTCATTAACTGCCTTATGCCATTTTCCAAAAATATCACATATAATAACACTTTTGATTAAGATATTATATGCAATAAATCAAAATTGTTGGACAAAATATATTTTTTTTTGTTGTAGAGAAAATCGAATAAATAACAATGGGTGTGCCACTTTGACAGGTATCATCCATTTTTATTTCAAAATATTTCTCTCATAGTGGGAAAACAATAATCGTCTCAAATCCCATGAGAATTTTAATCACAGAACAAAAATTATGCAACTAATCATGACCATTAATCGATAAAAGGCAAAAACTCATATGTGATTGATATTGAGAGACGAAATTGACAACAAAATTTCAAAAATGAAATTTAAATGCATAAATAATGGCAATAATTAAATACATAAACATTTTAATGAAATAATACAAAAGTTGTCGATTAAATTATTATTATTATTATTATTTAATATATTTCAATCGAGTCAATTATTAAATAAAATTTTGAACTGGGTCAAAAATTAAAATTTTAGGGTCAAAACTTTAAAAGTTCAAATTAAAAGCCCCTTATTGAACCCTAAATTCAAATTAAAATCAAGTCCTTCAATATTTAAAATTGCATGATAGGTTCTTACTTTAAAATTTCCAAAATAAGCCCTAATCCCTTAATTTCTGTCAGGGACCTCTAAACTTACAAATTGTAAGACAAGTCACATCCCCAAATATATATTACACGGCTGAAATTAGGAAAGACAAAATCAAACACTCTTCTCACCTGCCAAATGAAAATTAAAACCCTAAAATCCACCATTTTTTTTTATTCTTGCCAGCGCCAAAATCCGACCCGCCACCTCGACCCGAGGTCTCAATATCATGCGAGGACCCGGTTGTTGTACCGGTTGTTGTACAACCCAAAAGTGGCGCTGCACCGGAAGAAAAGTGGAATTCCGAAGCTGGAATCTGAGGTACAAAATCGCCATTGATTGTGCATTGAGATGTGAAATCAGAAAATATTTTGCTGAATTCTAATTTCAAAGCTTGTGTTGCGGATTTTGGGCTTGTCAAATTCTTGGTAGATGGTGGTGTTGGATTTATTAATTATATCTTTGTGTGTGTGTGCATGTGGAGGGGGAAACAGAGGGTTGCCTGAGATTAGGTTTCAAACAAACTGGTGATTTGGCTGATTCGTGTTTAAGTGGAAACGGATGGAGGGGTGGAAAATTTTGTACAATATTTTTGTATTAAATAAATGGACTTCCTCTTGCGTGGTTTGGATTTGGATTTCTTTACACATGTTTATATAATGAATATATACATTATACATATATGCCCAAACAAAATTTTACACACAAAAAACGTTTTTCCACATCATATAGGAAAAAAATTTCATGAAAGATTTCGTTCTTAATATAAAGGCTCTGATACCAATTGTTAAATTTAATTTTAATCATGTTAAGAATCGAGAATGACAATACAATAATTAATAGAACGAATTCATACCAGCGAAAGCCATTATTGATATGAATAATAGTTGTAATAGCTGTTAGATTTTCCCCTCATTGCTCCTCACAAAGTATTAGCTGTCAATGGGGTAAGCTAATAAAATAATATGGAAAAGAGAGGGGATCCAGCTTTATATAGGAATTTATTTAGTCATCCCATTATCTACGTAAACCCTAATTAGGGTTTACGCATAATTTTGGCCCACATACTTGAAATTACCACATTATATCAAATAAAGCCTGTAAGGTGTAAAACAACCCAAATTGATCACTTAACATAATTGGTCTAATCATATGTTGTTGTAAGTCATACATCTAACCCGTAAAATTTTACAATCGAATGTGAAGCCTATATTTGGAATTATTCCAACATAACAAACATTGATAGGTTTTGAATTAAAGATAAAGAATGATTGAATTGAAGGCTGCTCGTTGTGTACATATCAAAGATAAAACTCAAGTTTAATGTAACATATTCTAATATCAATTTTAAATAAGCAATGTCAAGTTAAAGATTCGAGAATTTTTACCAAGCCGCCCATTTTTACATTATTGACTTTTTGTCCTAGCCAAAAGAGCAAGCTATCTAATTTAAGCTTGTTGCATTCGAGTCGATGTGTTTTAGTTTTGTTTGTGTTTCCGTTGTTCCTTTTCTTTTCTTTTTCTTTTGTGTGTTTGTTTGAGAACTAGCAAAGTATTATGTTTGGAGGTGTTTGATGAATGTATTGCAATCATGCAATTAATACTATTTAAGCATGATATTTTGTTTGGTCTTAAGAGTTTTAGGTTGTTTTGTTCTGTGTTTTTATGTTTTTGTTGTAGGTTAGGTGAAATGGCGATAAAAGGCAATTCTTGGAGCTTTAAAGAACCAAGAAGTTAGAGGGAGATGAATCAAGGGTGAATGAATGTGCAAATATGCTAAGGAGACAAGGAAAAAAGCCAAAGAAACAATGCTTCAATGCTGCAGAAAAAAGAATTTTTACAGGTCAACTAGCACGTATGTGCCACACAGCAAATACAAGCAGCGAGGCAATGCATCGTAGAATGTAGAGTTAATTTTGATCCGAAAAAGCCCAATTAAGCCTAACTCAAGACAGACATTATGAGGACATAAATGCAACATTTTAAAGGATTTTGAAACACACTTTGACGCAAACAAATCTAGAGAATGAAGTAATTGAAGGAAGAGACAGTGAGAAGGAAGATAGATTCAACTCGAAAGACAGTTTTTCCTCTTTTCCTTTCATGTTTATGATAATGAACTTTAGATTTCTTTATTTTCCAATTATGAACTAATTCAATTATCTCGAGGATTGATGTAGCCTATACTTGATACTATGTTTTGATTTTCAATGTATATTTCTTTGGGGTTTTCTTCTAAGTTTATTGTGTTATTTGTTCTTTGTGCTCTCAACTAACAGGCCATTAATTGATTGATTTGATGTTTAAGATACAACACTCAAGAGAGGAAATCTTGAATGTGATAATAGAATAACACAACCTAGGATTTTTATAGGTTTCCATAGAAAGTTTAAATCATTTGAAATGTTTTTACAAAGAACCATAGAACTTAATGAATTATTGTAATTTTGATTTGAAATAGAGATATTGGACTCAAAATTTAGGAATGATTTTCACTTGGCGCTCGAGAGAGGGAGTATAAATATAATAGGTTCTTTGCTTATAAAGTAAGGAAACCAATTGAAGATGAATTGAGAATTAAGAGACATAGTTAATAGTTAGATAAAATCAAAACTCTAGGTCATTCTCAAATTTTTTTAATCCTTAAGATTCGGCATTCTATCGTTCATTTACTCAAACTTTCAATTTAGATTTAATTAAATTACATTGATCTCATTAATTCGATTCTCTAAGTAAAATGTGTGTTTGAGCCACATTATTTTGAAATAATATAATTTGGAATAATAGATTGATGGAGAATGAATAGTTAAAAAATAGGAAAAAAATTTGGGTTTACATGTAACATCATTTTATTGAAGAATGTGTGGTTGAAATGATGTCAAATCACTGTTTAAGAATGAGCTCAAACAGGGCCAAAATGAGGGTTAATATAATTATAGTACTTAGTGGAGATTTAATTATCAATCTATGGGTTCGACATTCTAACTCATCATTATATTATAAAACTTGAACAATATAATTTCAACTAACATAGACTTAAAGAATGTTTGCTTTGGTCCCTATGTTTGCTTTGGTCCCTACTTCTTGATTTGAGTACAGTCTTGGTCCCTTTTCAAGTTGTGGCTAATTATTGTATTTTTCAATCCTAATCTTCAATTTTGATGTGAAAAGTTAAAAATTCTTTCATATCGGTCCTCAAAACATCATAATCATTCTAAAATTCATCCGATGATTCAGCAATATGCAATTTAATTTCCAAAGTTTCAAAAATAGGCCAATTTTTGAGATACCGCTAATAACTAACGAATGGCAAATGCTTTTCCTTATATAGATCCTATTTCAATGGGAACTTGATGATTTAGATATGACCTCAAAATAACAGGGGGTCAAGGTCGGTTAATGAGACGATGGGAATAGTGCCCTCTTTTTGTCATCCCTACAGCTTTCCTTTGGGATTGAAGCCATGGCGTATTTCGATTGCTCTTAAAGTATCTTATCACTCTCCTACAATCTGGTTAGTTTATAAATAGCTCAAATTTCCTCTTTTCACATCAATTGCATCCATGTTCGATTTTTACCTACTCTTGTATATCCATTTTAAAAATCCACTCTGCTAGAAATCATATCAAATTTAAAAGCATTGATAAGTGTGCAAAACACACCTAAATTTCTTTGAATTTTAGTGTTCTTTCAGTAGCATGATTTAGGATGATTTGGTATAAGATTTGGGAACTTTATTGCCGTTTTCTTTGAAGGCTACAGTGACTTTTTTGGCAGAAAATCCTGAGCCCAATGTGCTCGCATGGTCTAATAAGAATTTGTACATTCAGTTTTGTAATCTGTTTTTATGTTATCTGTACATCAGTCTTCTAATCTCTGAAATTTAAAGGATAAATCCCAATGCCGTGAAGATCGAGTGCTAGCGTTACCCAGAACAAATCGATGTTCACTTTCCTATTTTGAATTTGGAAGTGGAGTTTCACTGGCTAGATTCTCTTCTTCTTTTCTCTTTTTCATTATTTTTAAAAGATCTGTCATGTCAGTGATGTGTTTGATTCTAAAATGTCGAACGAAAAATTTGGATATGCCACCGGCATTATATGACACACATGTTGGTGTCCGAGAAGTTTTGAAAATCCACGCTCTGGCACCGATGGGTATATGTGCTTCCTTGCTTTTGAGGGCTTGTGTTAATTTTATTTGCCATGTTTAGTTCCTATCTAACTTAGATTGCAAAAAATAATAATAATACTGTCGTAAAATGGTGTATCAAGAAATTTTCTCAACACTTATAGGGTAACTATTTAAGAATAAATCTATTATTAATTTCATTGTTATCGGTCATCATAGTAACATACAAAGAATCAAAACTTATACTGTCCTTGCTCATTCTGGTCCCTATAGATCATTTATTTCCAAGTTTTCAATTTATATGTATTCTTTGTCATGTAATTGCAAATATTGATGCAAGAATGGTTATTAACTCCATGGTATTAAATAATAAGGCAATAATGGTGTTCCACTTTTAAGCTTTGAGTGATTAATTAGAATGTTTATAATGCATATTAAACATATATAGAGATCTTATTTTCTTTAAAATTTGATAAAAGTTTTATTTTTTCTTGAGCCTATGAACTAATTTCCATCATTATTATAAGTCGTGCACATGATGTGCGCATAGTGAACCCAGTTTGCACGAATCAGCCACACATTCAACATAACGTCACACTACGTTGGCATTGTTATGAGGACATGATAAGAGTGTAAAAATATAATATTTTTCCCTCTTAATTATTGCATTTGTGTTGTTATTTGATACTAAAATGAATTCATTATACTTATATTTGGATTCAGGTTGCATTTTGGTAGAAAATGTGGAAGTTAGAAGAAAAAAGCGAAAAATGACCAAAGTTGAAGAAAATGAAAGTTTGGGGACTAAAGTGCAAATACTCCAAACTTGTATCTAACCTTAGGATGAAGATTCGAAACTGTTAGAGGTCAAGTGGATGAAAAAAGAATCCTATTCCATCCCAGAACGTCATTACTCCCTTCCAAGCATAATTTTCTTTGATTTTTGGCTCAAGAACGCTATGAGCAACTAAGGGATTCGGTGAAGCCATGAAGGAACTCAATTGGTATCGGTAATTTTAACGTCCTTTTACGCATGTAATTCTAATTTTCATTGTTAAATGATTTTAAGGTTTGGATTTTCCATTTTCATGATATTGTTTTGAGATTAATTCAATTCTTACATATTTGTTATGGATTTAGTCAAGCTTTTACTATTGATTAATCAAAATAATTATTGAATTTCAATTCCAAGCATTATTGTGAGATTGGTTTAACGTTTATTATGCTTCTCATAGATTCAATTGTATTTTGTCTATTGTGGACTTAAATTATTCGTTGAATTTCAATATCATGCAATCTTATTGGTGTGATTCTTTATCATTATATGCCCTAATTATATGATTGTTTTGGATCTGATTTTAATAGATTAAAGTAGGAATGTGTTGTAGGAGGATTTTTGAATTACCATAGAATTTAATTGGACTTTAATGATATATTTTCCAATTAAAGTATTATGACAAATATCTTTAATTCAGTATATGATTTCGTAATTGACGTTGATTGATACGAACCAATCCAGGGAATTTCGTCGCTTCATTATTTCACACATTGGAATTTACATTTCATTCAAATTGATAAATTGTTTTTATACAAACCAAGACGAAAACCCTAACTTTTGAGCCTTTGAGTAATTTTCCCATTTTTCTGTGGATACGACACCTCAAAACTGTACTACAACTACCGCATTATACTTTGGGCGTAATCAAAACATCTCGAAAGTTGTAGAAAAATCAATAACGTAATTTGATAATATCATTTTAAATTGGAAAAAGAAAATCCAGGAAATAAAAATTGAGGGAAACCTTAGAAAATGATTAAGTTGTTCCAGTTAGGCCTTAACTATTCCAAGTTGATGTTCCCAATTGGAGTTGCCCAGTTGAGAAGGGTGTCCTTGTTGAAGAATTTAAGAATGGTTTTCAAAATTCAAGGAGGTAGGAACCCATGTTTGGCCCATTGAAGTTGGAAATTTGAATTCAAGAGTTTACACACTGAGAGTGATTTGAAAGGATGACTCTTGTTGCTGTCTCAGTCGAGGATCCACTGATCAGACACCACATTTTTAAGGAAAGGCTATTTCTTCAACATGATCTTGGCCTTGCTTCCTTCAATTTTTTCTCAAAACAAGGGCATTCATTCCTATAGTGACCAAACTCTTGACACTCGTGGCATCTAACAACTTGAGCTTTCTTACTAGAGCTCTTAGCATTCAGTTTGTCACTCTTATCTTTCTGAAATTTACTAGGGGCTCCTCTCTTTCTCTCTTGAGACCATCTCTTTTCCTTTAAAGCTTTTTGGAATTTCTTCACAAAGTGAGTTTCATGTCAGATGACTCAGACTCCTCTTCCTTAACTATGTTCAATGCTATGGATTTGTTTTTCTTAGGCTGTGAAATAGTAAGTTCATAGGTTTTGAGGGATCCTTCAAGTTCTTCTATCTTAATCGTGTCTAGGTCCTTGCTGTCTTCGATTACTGTAACATTGGTTCTAAATCTCTCGAGTAAAAACCTAAGGACCTTTCTAACAATTTTGGACTCGGAAATCCTCTCACCTAGGTTGAAGCTAGAGTTCATGATGTCATTCATCTTTGCGTAAAATTCATCAAACGATTCGTCATCCTTCATCCTAATTTCTTCAAACCTAGAGGCCAACATTTGGAATTTGGAATTTTTCACATTTGGAATTTGGAATTTTTCATAGTTTTGGTTCCCTCGTGTGTAGTCTCCAAAATGTTCCATACTTCTTTAACAGTTTCAGACATTGACACTCTTCTAAACTCTTCGGGGGACACAGCAATAAACAATGCATGGAGTCCTTTACTATTCCAATTACAATCGACTAGTTATTCCTTAGTCCAAATAGAAATATCAGTGGGAGTGACTACACCTGATACAGTAGTAGATAGGGCTTTCCAACCATTTTACACACTCACCCAAACACGTTCATTTAGGGACTTAAGAAAGCACGCGTCCCAACTTTCCAGCAGGCATAGTTGCTTTCGTCAAAATATTGAGACACCGATAGTGATTGATTCATCTAGACAACTATTCAGGTCAGTACTCGAGATTTAACTCTGGTACCACTTGAAATAACGTAGTTTGACCCAAATAACATTTAGAGGGGGTAAATAGTGTTTATGCGAAATTTTCACTAATTAATTAATAAATACAATAAGTCACAGTTATTAATTTGTCTAGATCATTTCACATGTTTTACTATCCTATGTTGAACTGCCAGAAATAAGTAAATTGCGAAAAGAAATAAATAATACAATTATTTGATGACGAAGAAAACCCCTTGCAGGATTAAAAACTCCGAACCTAAGTCATTACAAATCTACTATAAACGAGAATTCAACTTACAATCCGCCAAACACAAATAACACAAGTTTTTCTGACCTCCTGACTATAATTTTTCAAAGCCCTCCTAGAATGCGTGCTCCTGCACCAACTTCAGGCTCCAAGCCCTCTTAGATTGCGCGCTCCTACATCAATCACCTACTTTTGATTTCGTCTGTCCCATGTGGATTCCTGAGAACTCCCCATTCTCCAATGATCGGAACTCCGATCTCCTTTCCTGATCTTCAAATCTCAACAGATGCTCTGGAAGGACAGGTTTGACGATAATGGATTTGATGTTTTTGTGTGAGTGCACCAGCAGTATGTGGGATTGAATGAATAGATAAAAGTGTAGAAGGTTTTCTCCAAGTTCAATCCTCTAAAAAAAAGTCTGAAAACGGAGCACTGTTATTTATATGGGATGTATTGGGTAGTGCGGGTCGGGTTAAAATCTCAAAAATCACAAAATAAGTTTCTCCAGGTAGCACTGTCGCTTGAGCAAAAATTGAGCGCCGTTGTTTCACTCGAGCGAAGCAGTGGCGATAAGCTAGAGAGGGATTCTCTACTTTTGACGCTTGAGCGATCACTTGGCGAGCAGCTAGCGAAATTTCGATGATACTTCTTGCCCTACTTCACAACTCAAACCCTAAAATACTTTGACAAAATTGCAACATAGTCCCCAACTTTTACACATATACAAATTGACCCCAAACTTTTGAATATTGACAAATCGACCCCAAACTCTTGAACGAATACAAATTGACCCTTTTGATCACAAAATAGCAACACAAAATCTAATACACACAAAGATTGATGTGAAATTCAAATACAAAATGGATATTATGGCAAAGCAATTTGATTTACTGATAACTTTTAAATCTTAGTCCAAGATTCATAACTTAATGTAGTGTTCAATCAAATTATTGTATTGTATTCAATTTACCCCTTTCGAGTTCTCATTAAATATATTTAACTAATTCAATTTCATATCTCTATACGAATCAAGCTTAGTTAAACGAAATATTAGTTCAAAGAATTCATCTGAGATCGTAGTAATTAGTATAGATATCTCTATACATTATACTAGTTTACCGAATTTTACTCTATGGTCTAAATCTCAAACTTACCTCTCGATTCGTAAAAGATTCACAAAATCACTAAATTAGTGATCAAGTATTTCAATGCACTAAACTCATAGCAAAGTCAACACATGTAAGATAAAAGAACAAGAATCTTGAATAAAAGAAAAAATGATCGCAAATAGATTATATTGTTCGCCCCAATATTAAATTTAGTGACTCATAATAATAGAGGAAAAACAAGAAATTGCTATTGAATATATCGCTGGATTTTGAATAAAAATGAAGAAAAAGAGATTAATCTTACACCAAGATATTTTTTACCTTCCAATCAATGCTTCAAAACTTGAATTTTTTGATATTTTCTTCCCTTGAATTGTGATATTCAATAGCTATTTGTATTCTCTGTCTTCATGTGTGAAATCCTCTCAAAAGTGTCAAAAACTTGTATTTATACTCCTCCCCACATTTGTGTCGAATGTAGGTTTTTTATTGGCTTCAAAAGAGCCAAAAATGAGCCCTAGCTACCCCAGGTGATGCCTCCTATGGCATCGCGGCACTGCGTCTCTGTGGTTTGGGTAAAAATCTGCATCCACTTTTTTTTTTTAATTTTTATAACTTTCTTTCCTAGTATTTGATTGAGACAATTCAAATTGGGTTGTAAAGATAACTCAAAGAGTTACAACTTTACTTGAAATAGCTTTTTTTTTTCCAATTCGAATGTTTACTAGGTCAAAAATGGATTTTGATCTTGAGTTGAAACTTTGAAATATACTTGTGTAGTTGAAAATCGATTTGTGTCCATATTTTGATCATATTTCACTCCATTTTGACTTCTAATTTGCACCCAATTGACCCCTAGTATTGTCAAATCTTTATTTTGAGGTCTAACACAATTTTTAAGTATTTACTGTTTAGTCTCCAAACATTGGATCTTGTCCATTTTCATTGATTTTTCGCTTCTTTCTTTCAATTTCACTTCCATTCATCGAGTTTCACCAAATAACACATTATTTAACAAAGTTGGCTATAATTTCATTAAAAGAATTACAAAATGTCCATATTTTAAAGCCCTATATAAGTGTATAAAATACACTTACTGAAAAGTTTTAACGTTCTCCGCTAAAGATTGTGGCCTTGTAAAAGTCGCAATTAACCATCCATGATGGTCGCTCAACACACCTTTATCCCTGGTAGCTTGCACCAACCAGTCCTTCCCTATTGACTTACCCCCTTAATCCCTCTCACTCATTCTTCGTCCACACGTGTTCGAAAGGCTGTCTACCATCTTTCCCAAGCTAAAAGAATGTCTCACATCCCCTGAAAATGCACTACACTATTTCTCTAGCTCCCACAACAATCAAAGCCGGAACCACGCTCTTCCCAACCCTAGCTCACCATTCTTTCCCTTCAAACCCATACAATAGTTCCAATAGAATAATGCTCCTTGGCCAAGGTCAATGACATGAGGTGAAGTGACACGGTATTGTGGTATGGTAAGATTGGATTTTTTTTTTTTTAAATTATCAAATTATGTATTGACACATGTCCATTCTGTCATTGACTTTGTTACTGTAACAAGATTGATCCTCCAATATCTTCCAAAGCTCACCGGCCCTTTAATATGATCCCTTGCCCTAATCACATATGCTTTTCTCCCACAACATAAATGAAGTGAATGAATGGTAGCTTGGGAGCATAGGTTTTTGTAAAAGTAACAATTATAGATTTTTGCCAAGTCGTAGGACTAGAAGGCCTTCAAGTATGAGCTTAGCACGAGCTGGGGTTGTAGAAATGCTTACCCTATCTATGGCAAATGTTAGCAGATTTCATCTTTAGATTTTTATATGATTATCTAACCTTTAAGAGGTCATGAACAACGCTTTTTGTTACATCTTTCCACATCTAGTTTATTTCTATTTAATTGAGAATGAGAAGACACCATGTTATACAAGTTCATGTTTGACCTTCATTTTAATAATTAGGGTGTGTTTAATTATCAATATTTTTTATGAAAAATATTATTTTTCCACCAAAATTCTTACTTTTGTACTGTTTGATTAATATTTCTTTCATGAAAAATAATTTCCTACTTTTGATCACATAACTATATTTTTCTTGAAAACAATGAAAATATTTTATTTATGGGTGTACGTTTTTATTTTTCAGGTAATTCTTTTTCTTTCTCTCTTATCTATCCATCAATAAAAAATAGATAAGTATAACATTTCTAGGTTGAAAAGTAAATTAATCAAATACATTTAATTAACAACTTCCATGCAAATATGTTATAGGCAATTTAATTACTTAGAATTTATTTTTTGTTCTATATAAAATCTATGTTTGCAATTAAACTCACATTTAATATTTTTTCTCAAATTATTTTCGACTACTTATTTTATTGAATTTTATCAAAATCTGCTAAAACTATGATTTTTAGCTAAACAAAATAGAGAATTAATAAACCTTTGTTTCATTTTTCACAAAAAAGTGGAGCAATGACTTTTAAAAAAATATATGGTTAAAAAGTAGGAAAAATTTTAAGTTTAAGTGCAAATCATATTATTAGGAAAATGTTTGGTTAAAATGAAGTTTAAAAAAAATAGTAGATGTTTAAATAATGGGACTCAAACAAAGACTACGTGAACGACTTCTATCGTAATTTTTCTCAAGCAATGAGAATATGTTGGTCAAATTTGTATTTTTTCCTTGCTTGAATTTCATTCTTTTAAATTTTTTATTTTTTCAAATTTATTTTCAATCATATAATTTATACGATTCACAATTTTTATTATTTTCTTAACCACATATTTTAATAATTTTTATAAAAAATACACAACAAAAAATACTTAAGGGTCTGTTTGGAAGCGATTTTTCTTCTCAAAAAATTAATTTTTTGACCGTTATTTCACTATTTCAGTCGTCATACTTGACTTCTTCTCTCATAGGTGGGCCCCATTTTTTTTCTAACGGTCAAAAAATCAATTCTCAAAATCATTCTCAAACAGACTCTAATTTTAACGGTAGCAAACAATGTCTTAGGGGGGAAAAGAAAATGACAAAATTGTTACTTCTTTCCTTTCGAGGTGGCGTTGACAGCGCATTGGGGGGTTTCACGTTGGGAGCACCAAAATTGCGGACAAATGTATCGAAAGTAGGCGCCAACACTGAAAAATCGCGTAATTTGGAGCCCAATATTTTTCCCACTGGCGGGAAATAAATAAATATACGCCATAATCTTTGTAATTTAACAAGAAAATCACTGAAAACAGTCACTCCAAAGAGTTCAAAACTGAAAAGTCAGGCACCATCTCGACTTCCAAGAAGTTTTTTTTTTTTTTTTTTAATCTCTCGTTTTTAATCATCTGATCCGTTTCCTTCTTTTTCGTTTTAGGGTTTTCTTGGAAAATCAGTGAACGGAGTGTGGAATTTCGTACGAAATTCTCCCAAAAAAGTCCTACATTTGCCGCTGTTTCTGGCGTTTCTCTGATTCGACCAGGGTATTTCATGTCCTCATCTAGGTCTCTGTTATTTTTGTCGAAAGACATAGAGTAATTGTATGCAGTAATGGCGGAAGTTGAACCGATGATAATCGACGGCACTGATGAAAACAGCCTGAAATCGAATGGCGCCCATCAGAAAAACAAGGCATCCAAGAGAAAGAGAGGGGATCAATCTGTATGTACCGCAAGCCCAGAAGAAAAAGAGGCAAAAATCAACGGATTCCGCGAGGAAATCAACAGTTTAATCAAATTCTGCAAAAAATTAGTGTTGGAGCAAAGAATGTTGTTGGAAAATGTGGAAAAAATTGGGATTTCTTCCGCTTCTTTAAATGGTGTGATTGCATGTTTGATGGAAGAGAGTGAACTCCCTTTGTCAAAGCTTGTGGATGACATTTTTGAGAAAGTTACGGGTAAAACTGGAAATGGTGATAGCGTTAGCAAGGCTAGTGTGAAGAACAGTGTGCTTCTAGTTGGGCAGAGATTATGTTATGGAGTGTCCAGTGCAGATGCTGACATTTTGGAGGATGAATCTGAGTCTGCCCTCTGGTACTGGGAGGTAGAATTCTCAATTTACTTTTATATTAATGTTTCCCTAAATCTTTGGATTTTGATTTAGGGCTTCGAACATATGCTATATGGGCATCTTAAGTAGATTTTGATATCTATTGCCACTTTGGAGGAGGGGGAAGGGAGAGGGAATTTTTGGATTATATTGGCATGTTTGTGAGCTTCACATCGAAATTTAGTCCGACTAGGATGGATGCGCGGAGAATTGATTAAGCTTTGGGTTAGATATGTTGTTTAGTCATGAATCATGAATATGATTCCTTCCATGTGCAATATATAGGATTTCCTGTTTATTTATTTTTAGAAAGGGTCAAACGGCTAGGAGAATTTTAATTGTCTCGTTTTGGTACTCTTTATATATTTATAAAAAATATATGCATCAAAATTGGAAATTTTGGCATTGCGCGAAGTAATTGTTGCTTTTATGATATTCATGTTTACGTTGGATTCTATACAGAGCTGTGCTCTGGATTGTGTTATCTTTTGATATAAGTGTTTGACCTGGTATGTGCAAATGCGTGTACCTTTTCTGGATTCCCTATTTTCTCTTTGATTGTGAAATCTTAAGTAAAAGGCACTAACCATATTCTTTTTGTATTATTGCTTCCTTGTTGCATAGCATTGTTATCTTACTGTTTGTGTTGTGCCTTCTTATTTTTTTGTACTACTACTTTGGCGTGACTTTGTTGTTCAAATCGTACTTTTCTTGTTCAATATATGTAATTCTTAGTATGTTGCATTCTGTTGTGGTTGTATGTAAGGCTAATCTTGTCTTGTTCATTTATGTTCTTCGTAGACAAGAGATTTGAAACTAGTGCCAAAATCAATGCGAGGCACTCTGAAAGTCCGGCGTACTTGTCGAAAAAAGATCCACGAAAGAATTACTGCTGTATTGGGTAAGTCTATACTGCTCAACTACATATAAGTATCGGCTTGCTATAATATGGAATTGGTTTGTACACTTGTGATTGCTGTGCAAATATGTTTTATGTATATTTGAGTCAGTCTGATTAAAAGTAGACCAACCTCCTGTGTTTATAATATGGTTGCTTGTCTATAAAAGTGGTAGGATTTAGCTAAATTTCCCTTCCATTTGTTCATCGTCTGTCATAAAGTTTAACTGGTCAAGAAACAAACCCACTGGACAGAATGATACTTGTCTGGGATGGCTATGTTTATCCTCTTCTGCTATTCTAATCAAGTCATCTATGAAGTCATAAACGTTGGTTTACATCCACCCTTTATCTAGAATCAAGATTAAGATAGTTAAATTAAAATTGGAGTGAAAGATAAGAAGGTAAGAAGATGAAGCATTGAGTAGATATATGATGCACCGACATTCCGACGGAACAACTATCATATTTACATAGTGAATTTGCTACTTAAAATAAATGAATTTGATTTATTGGGGGGAGAAATGCCAGATCCATGCAAGGGATTTGTGGCCATATTAATATCCCGGGCCAGTTGTCATTAACCCATGGTAACTGCCAAGTTGCATCACGCTGAAATCGTATTCTATGTAATTTTAGTGCTGGATGGTTCAACCTATTTTTTGACTATTCCAATTTTTTTTTCTTGTTTTGATTTCTTTTGGCGAGTCTCTTTCACCTTATTATTATTATTATTATTATTATTATAGCTTCTTAGTTAATTAATTAATTAATTTATTATTGTTATTTTTTTGGCCAGGGGATATGGTTGTTTAATGTGTGAAACTATTATTTTTTTTTTCTTCTGTCCAGCTGTAGTTTTTTAAGTTTGGGTTCAAATAACGGTCACAGAAAAAATCTCTCATCTCTTTACAGGTCCACCTTTGTGGATGACATAGTTATGGTGTATATACAATGGACATTAATCAGGGATCAAGACCATTTAATTTTTAAGTGCTGTTATTCTCCTCAAATTGTTGCTTGAATAGTGAATAGATTTCTGTTTGTATGAGCACAAGGTCCACAATCTAATATTGATTTTATTCTAGTGATCCCTAGTACGTAGTGCCTTATACATAATTTATTCGAGCATTTAATCTTCAAACAATGGCCAAAGGATGTAAAGCTAGAATCTGTCTCCTTTGATGATTGTCATTTATGTGATAAGTTTTATGCAAATAATTTGCTTGGGAATTTTCAGATTCTTTCTTTAGAGTAAATTGTGCAATTATTCAAGTTGGTCCACTTCTGAAACTTGGTTTACTCGACAATTTGAGTCCGTTTCAGCAATGATAACTGCACTGGAAAAATCAGAGGGCCATCAGAGCTACAGGGAAGATTTGATAAGAGCTTCAGACAAGCTTAGCAAAGTTTTAACTGAGGCAGATGTCCGTTTGTTGATGGAGACCATGTCTCAGAAAAATGCTGCTGAAGTGTATGTATCCCAGGTATTTTTTTTCCAGTTGGTTATTGGTCATGGACTCAATCAGTATTTATAATGGTGAAGGTCTGAGAAAGAAGCCAAACGAGAAGAAAAGCTTTTGATCAAGCAAATGGAGAAAAGCAAAAGGCAGATGGAGAAAGAGAGGAAACGAATGGATCGGGAGCTTAATAAGGAAAAGTTGCAAACTGTAAGTCCTTTCTCTAATCTTGTACATTTTATTTGGCTACTGTACAATTATAAATATTTAATTCTTACACAAATGTTCTAAGCATTGTTCGTATAGAATAACGTTTTGACTTTCTTATGATTAAATTACCTTTTTGATTTTATTGAATGGAAAATCATAGTTTTGTTATCTTAATGGAGACTGAATCTGAATTATCTAGACACTTGACATTCTGAGCTGGCTTTCATGTCTTGCTATGTTTAAGATAAATTTGTTTACAAATAATGTAGATTTTTACAGGTCTTAGCTAGTGAATATCTTTTTTCTTGGTTCATTTATTTGAAGATCCACAACCTTTCAGGAAAAAGAACTAAAGCGGTTAAAAGATGAGGCTGAGAAGGAGGAGTTGCGCCTTGAGAAGGAAGAATCTGAAATGCGGAAACAGCTGAAAAGGCAGCAAGAGGAAGCAGAGAAAGAACGGCGGCGCAAGGAGAAGGAAGAATCTGAGTTAAAAAAACAACTTTCTCTGCGAAAACAAGCATCACTCATGGAGCGTTTTCTCAAAAAAAATAGAACTAATTCAACTTCTCAGAATGGCAGCACTGCAATCAAACAGGTAATATCTGAACAATCCCCTAACAGTGTTGAAAGGATGTCAGGACCAATTACAGTGGCTATGGACTCTGTTCTAACCCTTGGTGAAGGATTTGATGAAGAAGATATATGGAAGTGGGTTCCTTATGTTTCCCTTTTTTTTTGTGAATATCTTGTAAAATACTGATAGTTTATATAGTATAAGACTAGTCTTGGTTTCTTTTTGCAGATCACACTTGAGATCTTGGCGCTGTTTGGGATGCACAGTTCGTTCTAACAGGAAAATGCATTGGGGAGTTCGTCAGAAGCCTAAGACAGAACTGGTCAAGGAACTTAAGCTTAGTACCAACAGAGAATTGACCTGTGATGAAGACTTGAGCCTAGAGAAGCTTGTGGATGGATGGGATGACTCTAATATTGATGGACGATCAACTTGTACTAATGCTAATATTCTTCCCAAATGCCAGAAGCGCAGCAGGAATTGGCAGCTTTTGCAGTTTGACAAGAGTCATAGGCCTGCCTTTTATGGTGTTTGGTCCAAGAAAAGGTGGGCGCAATTTTCATGTTACATTGTTTTACTCTTATGCATATAGTTTTGCAAGTGCATTGTGGTATCTTTTGGTATATCATTTTGTAATATCTTTTTTGTGCACATGGAAGGCATCCACGGATTGAATTTTAATTGGAAATTTGGAGGTTATGAATGCTATTATTGGTGAGTGTAGGACATTGTTGGTTTTAATTTGTGAAGTTGAAGGATGAATGATGAGTCCTGCCAATATATACTGTGTTCTAGCACAATTAAGCACGTGGTGTTTTACTGGTAATTTGGTACAAGAGAGGATTGCCACATTGAATAGCCTAGCTTTAAGGCATGGCATTGAAAATTGTCTTGGAGCTGTACCACTTACTATGTATTCACTTAGAATGCTGTACTTCTGTTCTCCTACCAAGCAATTTGATAATGTTATTTTGTTTAAGACACTAGTTGAGTCGCTTAACTTGCTGTCTGTTGACAAGTTTCTTGGTACAATCATTGAAGTGATACTTGTGTACGGACAGCGTCCAAGTTGGTTGTCCTATTTATTCATCCATGCATGTTTTAAACCATTGAAAAAGAATTTGTTCCCTGCATGATATGCTGTTGAATTATACGCGGTGCCTATAAAGGTACAAGGAGATCATCAAGAAGTGATGTTACACTGATTTGAAATAGTATATTATCGTAACTCTGATTGTATGTGTTTCTGTTTCTGTTTCTCCAGTTCAGTTGTTGGAGCGCGTCACCCATTTGCAAAGGATCCAGACTTAGACTATGAAATTGATAGTGATGGGGAGTGGGAAGAGGTATGTCTGCTTTGCTATAAATGTCATTTAATAGTATGAGATATTGGCGATTAATATTTGATTGCATAGGAGGAACCCGGTGAAAGCCTATCAGATTGCGACAAGGATGATGAAGATGAAATGGCAGAAGGACATTCAAGAGGCGATGATGGGGATGAAAGTGAAGATGGCTTTTTTGTACCTGATGGATATCTCTCGGAGAATGAGGTACTATATTTTTATTGCTATAGAAATTGATTTTCAGTTTATATTGAGGACAAAATATATTTATCTTTGTGTTTCTTCTGGAATGTGCATGTTTACAAGTTATTTCTTTTTCATCTTTCTTTATTTCGTCATTGGGTTTTTTTTTTTATTGAAAATGAATTTCTGCTAAGGGTGGGAGTTGGTGGCAAAGGGAGGATAGCTGAAAATGCTAATTTGTTTTATTTTCAATTTTTTGGATATACTGATTTGTGGTCAGCAAGTTCATTGGTTTTCATTGTGCCATGTAGGGCGTACATGATGACGAAATTGAATCTGATAAATTGGTTGAGGAGACGAGGAACTTGCCTGATTCTGGGCAGAATGAAGAATTTTGTACCTTGCTCCGACAACAGAAGTATCTGAATAATTTGACAGAGCATGCACTGCGGAAAAACCATCCCTTGATCATATGGAATCTTTTGCATGAAAAAGCTATTCTAGTACTGGCTGAAGGGCTCACTGATGCACAGAAATTTGAACAAAAGTGCTTGCAATCACTGAGTATTCTGCCGTACCCAGGTTGCCCCCCAGTAGAGATATCAATTTGTAATGACACAGTACATGAGGATGAAGAAGCTTCCCCTTCAAGTAGTAAGTCAAGCATGACTCCAGCGGCAAGTGCTGTAGCTATATTGAACTCGGACTTGCCTCAAATTGTAAGTTCATTTTATTGTGGAGTAGACACAACAAAACTCTTGCAGTTTGTTT